ATATAATAAAGTATTGGGATATGCTTGCTCCTGTGTGTAGGAGGAGAGCAAGAGAAAGTATGTTCATATTCTCTTACCTTTGTACAAAAAACTCTGGAAGGATGCAGGGAGCCTCGTAATAGGTCCAACTTGGGACGTGGACATAAGGGGCAGGTCTAGAGTAAGACTTCTCACTATGTGCCTTTTTATATTGTTTGCTCATTGAACTGTGTTTATTCACTGATTTGCTGAACATCTAATGGATGCCAGAAACCATTCTGGATACTGAGGGCATAGCAGTCAACAAAAGAAACAAAATCTCTGTGCTCATATGCTAAAAAATTAAATGAGAGTTTATATTCTAAAAAAATAAATGAGACAAATAAATAAAATATGTAGAATATCAGATGGTGATAAAGAAAAGAGGAAGGTGAATATGAAGTGTTGAAGGTGTGCTGGTTGGGATAAGGGAGACTGAGTGACCAGAGCATTTCAGGGAAAAATCAAAAGGAAATAGAAGCATAAGCCTAGAATATATATTATCAATTCAAAACATTACATTAAAAAGAGCAATCATCCCATTTAAGCTTTCCAATAACCCTGTTAGAAGTTACTAATAAGGTTATTATTAATGAGATTATTCTTCTCATTATAACTTGTTTTGATCCCAAGGGATTGTTTGCAAGAAGTTGAAGCAAGAAACGTTAACTCTTCCAAACCAAGTGCAGAGATAAACCAGGATGGTTCTTAAGTGAATGGGGGTTCTGAAGACTGGGAGGGAATATCAATCCAGGACTGAAGAGAAGAATTCTTGAGAAGGAAATGACTGCAAAAAAAGCAGAGCTATTAAGAAAAACTGGTGAGGGCTTGGCCAGGGCAGGCTTGAGGAAGTCAAGGACAGACACTAACAGCACTGGCAGACACATAAGAAACTGCAGACTGAAGAACCTTGGGCATCCCAACTTCTCTCTCTCTTGCATGCCTCTGTTCTAGAATGTGTTCTCTCAGCCTCAGCAGTACTGGGGCTGCTAATTGTTATGGGGCATTTCCTGTACATTATAGTCTGTTTATCTGCCCACTAGATGCCAGTAGAAGTCCCCACCTCAGTTTTGAAAATCAAAAATGTCTCCAGACATTGCCAGAAATCCCCGTGTAGAAACAAAATTACCTCTGGTTATGAACCACTGGTGTGATTAGAAGGCTAAGATTTTCATCTCAGCTAGCACTGGCCATATAACACAATTTTGGCCATGAAATAGCAGACAAAATCTGCTGGCAACTTCCTTTTTCTGTTTTTTTTTTAAAATAAGGGCAAGAGCAACATAGCCTCCCTGCAGTCATAGATAACAAGAATAAAGAGAATCACAGAATGCTGGAGCCCGTATCTCACTATCTACCAACAAACGTTTTGTTATGTGTGTAATGTAATAGCTTTTTGTTTAGACCACTAAATGGAGGTTTCCTAATATTTGGAGCTAAAAATAATCTGAACTATTAAATCATACAAAAGTATTTGGATATGATCCCAAAGATAATGGGGATCCACTAAAAGGTTCTAAAAAGTAAAAAGAATTGCATCATCACACCTATATTCTAGAAACACCATTTCTCTACAAAGCAAACCACAAAGCAAGATTGGAGGCAGGTAGACCACTGGGAAATGCTGTCATGACAATACAGATGAAAACTTGATGGAACTTGGACCAATTCAAGACAGTGGGGTAAAGTGGAGGCGATACTGTCAGGGAGTGGAGAGGTTACAGTCAGTGAGGAAAATGTGTATGTGGTGTTGATAATGTCCTAGGAGTTGTAAATAAGAAGCATATTTAACAAGAATGGCAATAGTCTATTCTAGGCTAGGCAGAATTTGAAATGCTTAGGGGAATGCAAATGGTAAAAGGTACTTACATAGTACCAGAAGTAAGAAAGCAGTATGGTAGTAGTCATTTTAAAACATATATATATGACAGAAAATTTGAAATTTTAATAAAGTTATATATTACAAAGGTAAATTCAACAAAGTATAGAATATTTAAAATGAGATCAGTAAAAGAAAACTACATACACATAAGAAAATGCCTACAGAAATGGGGTGCAGATGTTATGTGGTAAGAGCCCTCATTCACTTAACAGCATATTCTAAATATCTTTTCTATTTTGATATTTACCCATTTTCTGATTTTTTTTTACTATTGAAAATAGTTCTGAGATAATTGTTCTCATATTAATTTTTTTTTGCCCATATCCCCTAATATTTCCTTAGAATAAATTCCAAGATGCAGAGTTGCTGGCTCAGTAGTGTATGTATTTTTTAAGGCTTTTTACACATGTTCCTAAATTATTCTCTAAAGAGGCTGTAGCAGTTTACAATCCCGTCAGCACTATGGTAAGTACTACTCTCCCAACACTTTCTCTAAAACTGAATTTATGTACTCAGTCAAGTTCTTGAGAATTTTATGAAATAAAAATGTTAGCTTCGTTGTTTTCAGTCTGCATTTGTTGTGTTGCTATAATATGAGGACTTATATTTTAACCAGCTATCTGTATTTTTTTCCCCCAAACTGCTGATTCTTGCCCTCTGCCCACTTTCTTTGGGGACACATCCTTTATTGATTAGTAAGAGTTCTTTATATGTTAAAATTTTAACCCTTCTACATTAGTGCTGCATTTTTTGCCTCTTAGCCTGCATTTGTCACTTAATTTTAGGACATTTTGATAAAGTGGTACTTCAAATAATTGGAATGGTCAAGGTTTGCCCTGGCTATTGTGAAGAATGGGAACAAGATGTATCTGAAAGGAAACAGAGAACTGAAGCAGTATTTGAAAGGTTCCACTGAGGTTGGCTTCCAGGAATTTCTAGAGGCTTCAATCTATAAAACTGTAGCAGTGTAGACAGGAGAAAAGGGAGGAAAGCAGGGTTTGCCTGGAGTTAGGAGTTTGCCTAACCATAAGCTGGACAAAAAAATAAGGGTGCTATGTTTATTAACAACTATGTTGCTGAAATGATGGGCCACAAGGACAGGATGAGAAACAACCAAGACGCTGGGAGTGAAGGGGAGAAGTCAGGGACTCCGACATGTAGTGGAAGAACAGACTCAGCTGGGAGAACAAGAGGGAGCTGCAAGATTAGGACATGTCCTACAATTTTCTTCTGTCATTCTTCTCATCATTGCTTCTGATTCTTTTTTTTTTTCCTCTCTCTCTTTTTAAAATAGAATTATTTGTATGTTATTCTTCATGTTTTAAAGTTTCCTTATCTTTTTCCTTTATAGTCAAATTGTGTTCCCATCACACTCAGAATCAATTTTCCATCATCAAGTCTATTTACTAGATCAAATACATTTTATTTCAGCCATTCTACCTTCCATAGCCTTGCCTTCTTTTTTATTTCAGACGTGCAGTTTTAAAAGCACCATTGTGTTCCTGTATCCCAAGTAATATTTAACTCCAAAAAATGGGGTGGGAAGGAGAAAGATTGGAAGGGAGAAAAAAAAGAGGGCCATGTACCCTTTCAGCCTTAACAAGATCACAAGACACCTGGTAAACATCAGACCAATCAATGAGTTACCATGTTCAGTGGCCATAACGCAGGGTCACGCCGGCCGAAATGCAAGACTGCCAGGACCTCCTGTGCCAAGCAGGGTTCCAAAGTCCAGTACCCTGTTTGCTCTCACCTGAGATATTTCCATCTGACAGCTATTTTGCAAGTGTCCTTGGAAACTCCAGACCCTACCTACTATCTCCCCAATACTTCATTTTAGGGGTGTCTTCAGTATCGAGTAGAGGGGATCACTGTTCAATGGCTTGAGAACATGCTAATAGCTTCTAACATCTCTTTCCAGCCCCAGTGCCTTTTCGCCCAAGTACACACTTGAAGAGAATAAAATTGAGATTTACATGGGTCCCCACGGAAGAAGGCCTCAGGCCCCAGGCTTCATGAGGGAGACGAGCTAATGATGACGGAGACTGCTGATGTGAGAAGGGAGAACTCCGCACATGAGGCTGCAGACTCCATGGCTCATCTTGCCAGCCACAGAGGAGCCAGCCAGGTGAGCCCTGAGAAGTCCTCTTTTCTAAAATCAGGCTGCACGTCATCCAAGATCCTCTCACAAAAAGAAGGCATGACCTTCCTTTTGTCTCAATCTTCGTTCAGAATTGCCATTGTAAACAGAAATGTCAGTTTTTACATTTTGAACCCTGTCAACCCTGGCTAGACAACTAGAGAGTAGAACCAGTCCTTGCCCAGAGGAAATCTAATCAGAACCTCGGTCCCTTTCTTTTTAATTCAATACCCAAGATATTGGGAAACAAAGCAAAATATCAAAAACTCACTCATACAGCAGAAAATGAGTTTGATCATTCAAATAACTAAACATTTTCATGAATTTTAAAATGGATTCTTTTATGGGAACACCATCTGTTATCAAGAAACGGTCTTGAGGGGAAAGATAGACATCCTCATAAAAGAGTACAACTTTACACCAAGGAAGGAGCAAAAGTTAGACTCCCACATACCTTCATGTCTCCATGTCTCCCAGAAGGTTTTCTAACACTTCACACTGTACCCCCACCAACACAGACCCCCGCCCCACACCCCAAACACACACACACATACACACACACAGGATGGGAGAGGGAGGGAGAGAGGAAAAAGCCAGTCTGAGTAGGACTGAGAATAACTGCAAAGAAATACCAGGTTGAGGATACTCCAGAGCTGCCCCCCCCACCATTAAAGTTAAAAGCATAAAAAGACAGACTGACAGATACCAGCTAACCCCAGGCTACCCCATTCATTCATTGTTGCCGAAAGGAAACCAAACATTTTTCAGCAAGATAAAGCTCTTAGAACCCCTCATTTGCCAAATTAGCCAATGTCCAGCTTAACTCTCAAGCCAGAAGGCCTTTCATCTGAAAGCACAGCAGGCGACCCCCTGTGCTGTGACTATCCAGTATTTTCCTCCTGACCACCCTATTCCCAGCACCAAGCCTCCGCTGGGGCCCCGCCAAGAGGGGACAACTACCTGAGACAAAGGAGTAGGCCGCGAGGAGGTTGCTGAGCAGAGCCATCTCCGTGTGCTCGACTGTCACCAGCTCCAGGCTGCGGCTAAAGGGCGGCCTTGATGTGGCATCCAGAGGCAGCCTCAGAGATGCTTCGGTGGGATCAAGGTGGCCACCCTCCCTCTCTTCTCTTCTGTTTGGGAACACAAAGTGAGTGATGAAGACACATTCTGCCTTCCCAAGGACGTATTCCAGGCAGCCGAGCTCAGCCAGCCTACGCACCCAGGCACCGCAGAGGCCTGGGGTCTCGTCCTCTGCTCCAGCTTGCTTCTTGGTTTTCAAAAAGCAGAAACTCCTTACATCTCTTTTTTCTGGGCTTTCTCCTTTCTCTCCCCAATCTCTTCGCAGCTTCCCAGTTTCACTTGTCCCTCACCTTTCTGTGTCCTTATTATCGTCTTCCCCTGAGTTTGCCTTTAAGGCACAGCCCATGATCATTTCAAAAACCGAGTTTTAAGCCAGGTCTGGGCTCTGCTAGCCCCTACTCCAACCACCCCTATGTACTTTGACCAGTTTGTCCCCCATAGGTCACCAAATGTGTGTCCTTAGCAATGGGTCAGAGCTGGCTCCTCCAAAACTGCCAAAGTAGTTCCAGTTCTCAAATACTCATAAAGGCCAGAGAGCTTCAGCTTGCTCCCTGCCTCAGCACTATGACTCCACTTGTGACCATGATGGGCAGCACACACGACCACAGGCAGCCTCTGGCAGAGCAGTCACCCTCAGCCCCAGAAGTTGGGATCCCGGTGTCTGAGACTTGGCCTCTGACTAGGGAAGCACATCTTTCCGCCAACTGCTGCTACAAATCAGATGCAGAATTATCTTCATCAATTCATTTAATGGAGCCCTCATGCAGAACTGAGGATGGAAGGAAAGAAAAGTGGCTAGAACCGGCTGATTCCTATTCACTGTTGCTTTAGCTGAGGCAGGGAACTGAGTTGCAGGATGTCAAGAGATACCAAGCTTGGGAAAGTTGGAGAAGCAGGAGGCTTTGGTCCTTGGAGGAGGAACTGGTCCTGGGGAGGGTCACTGACATCAGTGTCGTGGACCACCTACAGAAGGCCTGGAGGCGTCCTTCTACTGAAGCCAGGGAGGGGTCACAACAAAATAGGCTCAGTGAGGACCAAAACAAGGCTAGATAAATCAAGGCACAGGCAAGACAAAATAAAGACACAGTCCCAGGAGTAGTCAGCAGACCCACAAGTGTCACGATGAGTGTGGGTGTCAGCTGGCTCTGAGGAGGGCTTGAGCTATTGCTGAGGGACCCAGTGCCTCTGGACCAGGGCACAGGGCCCCTGTGCAACAGTCCTTTGAGTTCCTGGAAGGTGAGTCGCTGGAAGCACCACTTTGAAGTCAGAGACTATTCTGCAAATCTGAGGATTTGGGGACCCAAGAAGAAAGAGGCTGCTCAAAAATGAGTATGTAAGAGGATAAGGCTATTTCAGATCCACTCCCTCCAACCCACCCCCACCTCTGTCATAGTGCAGGTCTCATCATTTCTGGGAGTCTCCTACATGCTTCTCCTGCCCATACTTTTTTGTACTCAAACTAGCATCCATTCTTACCAAGAGGATCATTTTTATAAGTACAAATATGATCCTCTACAGTTCAACCCTTGAACTAATCCTCATTAAACTTCTTAACACATATACAACTTCCACAATATCTGGCCCTCCCTTTACTCCTAACCCATAAGAAATGAGAAAGATACCATAAGAAAGATCTGGAGCCTAGATGCACAGAGCCACAGTCTGCATAATGCTTTAACAACACCAATTACTTTTGGTACCCTATATATATGAGGCTCTTTTATCTTCTCATGCTTTCACTCTTGCTTTTCTTTTTTCTGGAATAACCATTACTGTATCTATTTGGTTAATATTTCCTTTGATGAAGATTTCAAAGAATCTCTGACAATCTCCAAATCTAATGACTTTTTTTTTCCCCAGAAATAGAAAAATCCATATTAAAATTCTTTTGGAATCCAAAAAATCCTATATTGCCAAATCAATCCCAAGAACTATATTGAAAATCTTACACTTCCTGATTTCAAGTTATATCACAAAGCTATATTACAAATCAAACCTTTGTAGTACTGGCATAAAGGCAGACATACATACTAATGAGATAGAGAACTTAGAAATAAAGCCCTTACATTTTTGATCAAATGATTTTCAACAAGGGTGTCAAGACTATTTAGTGAAGGACAGTCTTTAAGAAATGGTGTTGAGAAAACTGAATGTTTACATATAAAAAAATTAATTTGAAACTTTATCTTACACCATATAAAATTTCTAACTAAAAGTGGATCAAAGATCTAAACACGATTGATATAAAATATAAAAACTCAAAACATAGGGGAAGAGCTTCATGACACTGGATTTGGTGATGATTTCTTGGATATGACACCAAGATTTGGCAACAAAAATAGATAAATTGGATTATATTAAAACTTCTGTTCATCGAAGGATGCAATCATTGGCATAAAAAGGCAACTTACAGAATGGAAAAAAATATTTTCAAGCCATATCTAATATGTGATTAATGACCACAAAATGTGAAAGATTGCTACAGTTCAAGAAATTCATAAGACATTTCTTCAAAGAAGATACACAAATGGTCAACCATCACATGAAAAGATGTTCTAGCATCACTAGTCATCGGGGAAATGCAAATCAACACAATGAGATGCACTTCACATACTAGGATGACCAGTATTTTATACATATTTAAAAAAAAAAAAACCCAAACCAGCAGAAAATAACATGTTGGAGATGTGGAAAACTGGAACCCTTATACTGTTAGTGAAAGGTAAAATTGTACAAGTGCTATGGATTAGCAATGGCAGTTCTTTAAAAATTAAAAATAGACTTACCATATGATCCACTTCTAGGTAAACACCAAACCACCTGAAAGTAAGGAATTGAACAGATGTTTGTACCCCAATTATTATGCAGCATTAGTCACAATAGCCTAGAGGCAGAATCAATCCAAATGTCAGCACATGTATGAATGGAAAAGTAAAAGGTGGCAGATAAACACAATGGAATTTTACTGAGTCTTAAAAAGGAAGGGAGTTCTGATACAAGCTACAGCATGGATGAACCTTGAGGACATTATACTGAGTAAAATAGACCCAGTCATAAAAAGTCAGAGTAACTCTCTGACCACATTTACATGAAGCAGTGTTCAGATTCCTGGGGGCAGGAGTGAGAATGGTGACTGTCGGGGATGGGGGAGGAGAGAAGGGAAAGTCACCGTTTAATGGGTGCAGGGTACAAAGTTTCAGTTTCGCAGACAAAGGTATTCTGGAGATGGGAGTTGTGCAACAGTGTGAATGTGCTTAATGCCACTGAACTGCACACCTAAACCTTTATCTGCTTTTACCACAGTTTAAAATAATAATGGTAATAAAAATAAGGCTGTGTGAAGGCACAGCAGTGAACTTTGAAGGTTACTTCATTTAAAGAATCTTGAAATTAAATATTCTTTTCAAACTAACAAGAATGGTAGCAGTTTGAATAAAGTGACATTAAAATTAAAGTCCACACAATTCTAATTAATACCCATGAATATGGTTTTATTTTAAGTGAAAGATGCTATCTCACTTGTTACAAGTTGCATAGTAAGCAATTTTAACCTGTTTCATTTGTAAATTAATAGGAAAAACTTAATAAATACAAAACTTTTTGTGAAAAATATAATCAAAATTCGTGATTTAAAAAAACATCTCCCATAGTAAAGTACCCAATTCTTTAAGCTCTTCTAAAAGAATAGTATTCTTTTAATTTGATACCTATGATATGGTAAATGGAATCATCAGTTTACTTGTTTGCCTTATACAGAGAAGAGGCATCTATAAATCTTTGTTATCCTAAGCACCTAGCATGGTGCCTGATGAAAGAGGTTCTTAGTAAATACTGGCTGGCTGGCTGACTGGACAAAGAAGAGTGCAATTAATTAGGCCTAAGTTTTATTCATTAGTCTCAAAGGGTATTTCAGGACAGATCTGAGGGTGAGTCCCCTTGAAGATTAAACAGATCAGAGAGCTGACTGATTCTGAGTGGGGGGGCCAAGAAATGCAGAACTCAAACAGGACCAGCTGCAAGGTAGAATCTGCATTGGTGCACAGAAATTCTCACAAGTACCCCTACATCGCAGGCACAGACAAGACAGGAGGTCAGGAGCCAGAAGCAAGAGGAATAGGGACAAAAAAGGCAAAGGTTGACCAAAAAAGGTAAAGCATGACCAAGAAGAACTTCCATGGTCCACGTGGGTACATGACCCTGGACCAGGGGTCAGTATATCCTCTCCAGAAAGGACTAGAGAACAGACATTTTAGGCCCTTGGGGCCATATAGTCTGTCAACTATTTCAACTTGACCACTGTGGTACAAAAGCTAACAGACAATATGTAAAATGAATGTGTGTGGCTGGATTCCAGTAAGTATTTTCAGAAATAGGTGGTGGACCCAATTTGGCCCTCAGGCATTGCCTGCAGGCCCCTAGCCTGGACTGTCAATCCTCAGAAAGTAAGCTTCAAGGGCCAGCGCCATAGCTGTCATGTGGTAGCCTGTTAGATCAGCATGATCTTGGGCACCACCCTGGCCCTCTGAATCAAACATGAATTCTACAAGATGCGCCATAGAATCTTCTACCTGACCTGTGAGCCCCATGGGCCCGAGCACTAAGACACTGAAACAGTGCAGGCCTGGGAGGAATTTCATGTAGCGTCTCCTTTTTAAATCTGATGTAGGGTAGGAAGGCAAGTCCTTACTGGCCCCTGCCCTACAGTCAGCTCTCCAGCTTAGTGAAGACACCAAGACAGGATCCAGCAGAAAGTCTGTCAGGGCCGGTCCAGCGAGTGAAGCCCACAGAAGTTAGGAGGGAGAACTGACACACATTGTTCTCCAACCCTTCACCCCTCTGGCATCCTTTGGAGGGGTGGACCAGCGCTACATAGCTCCAGACACTCTCCACCCATGGTGATTTCTCCTGTAATTAAAACCTTTCCACATCTTCTACTGCGATAGTTAATTTTATGAGTTAGCTTGATGGGCTACAGGCTACCCAGATTAAATATAATTTCTGGGTGTATCTGTGAAGGTGTTTTCAGAGGAAATTAGCATTTAATTTAGTGGGCTCACTGAAGTAGGTACCCTACCCCAGTATACAGGGCATCATCCTAGCCACTGATAGCCTGAAAAGAACAAAGAGTTGGAAGAAGGAGGAATTTGCCTCTATGTCCTTCCTGCCTCACCATTTGAACTTAAGTCATCTCACCTCATCTTCTCTCTTCTCCAGCTCTTCATCTGGGATTTATACTATCCGCCCCCAGCTCTCAAGCCTTCACACTTAGGCTGAATACATCACAGCTTTCTTGGGTCTCTAGTTTGGGACCTCTCAATCTCCATCATTGTATGAGTCAATTTCTTA